ACAATACCTACTCAAAAAAAGCAAAAAATTTATTATTTTTTGCTACAAATAGCTAATTGGCTAATATTGATAAGATTTTATAAATTAACTAATTTATGTATTAGCTTACTTGTGGGCTAACATAACTAGTAATTTCTCTTTAATGGATAAAGTATAAAATAAACAAAACCTGAACTCCGAAAGAGAGAGTGAAGATAACAGTATTAAGCAAAAAACATAAGCAGAAAAAGTTGAGTACTTGAGCGTAGAGGAGGGGTCTACTTGAGCTATTTTATGCTGTTTAAATTGGTTATGGAGAATATTAGATAGCTTGAGGCATGCCGGTATAATATTCTTAAAGGATATTTTGCCAACATAGTGATAAATAAAAATAAGCCTATTTACCAAGACTCGCAAGCTCTTCAGTTATCAATTGGGAGCAGAAACAACAAAAATATAAGAAGATAACCCAGCAAAAGAGGAAGAAAGAGTTTTCAAAACTCTGTCTCTTTAATTTAGCTCTCCAAAACATCTGGTATACATATAGATAGAGGATTAACAACTAGCTTAGGATTAACAACTCAATAATAGCTAGTTAAGGATTAATCACCAACGGCTAATTATAAGTAATATCATATCATCCTCTAATAAATTTGTACTGGCTAATTTAAAAATTAATTTTATACTAGCTAGTTTTAACCATTTCAAGGTAAGGAAAAAATAAAATTACTGCAAAAATGTTAGTTGGATCGGGCCTCACATATATTGGGATAAGTGCACATATAGCAATTTTAAGGGTGAAATTAAAAAATAGTCTGATTTACAATTGATAATTGGAAAATAGCCATAATTTCAAAAGTAATCGAAATTTAGCTACTTTTTTATGTAAAGATAAATCTAAACGAAAATACTGTTCAAAATCCAGAAAATATTTCAGAATAATATACCGGAGTTCGAATTTTTTACATGTGAACTTCTAGCATAATATACTGGAGTTCCAGCATAATATGCTGGAAATTCATACACATGTGCTCCATTCTCCAATATATTATGCTGGAACTTTCCGTGTGCTGGAGTTCCAGCATAATATGCTAGAAGTTCATACACATGTGCTCCATTCTCCAATATATTATGCTGGAACTTTCCGTGTGCTGGAGTTCCAGCATAATATGCTAGAAGTTCATACACATGTGCACCAATCTCCAGTATATTATGTTGGAACTTTTTGTGTTGCAGCAAAATAGTGGCTATTTTTCAATGACTTTTCAAATGCTGGCTATTTTTCAATTACCAATCCGAAACTGACTAGTCGATGCTATTTTCACCAATTTCCAGGGATGCTATTTAGAGAGTAACATTTTAAACTTTAAATTTTAATTTCAGGACATTTTTGTCCTGAAAAAATTATACTGAAAACTGAAATTTAAAATGCACTGGCTAATTCTTAAATAGAAACCGGCTCATATCCATTTTGCGTTGAGGCATTAACTTTCTTTGTGTGCATGAGCTTAATCTTTTTTCTTGTGAAGTGAAAGAATGAGCTTTTCCTAATCCATATAATACAACTCCCTTTTGAGATACCAACACATTCTTCCTAACATTTTATCCCTCTCGTGAAAATGTTCTATGAAAATGAAATGAAGTAAAAGGTAGAATGTGAAAAAAGAAATTACCATAACAATCATATCACACCAAATTAGTTGTTTCACAAAATGAAGTTTTTTATCGTATGTAACAGTAAATCTAACCATACAATATTAAATATTTGAAGTAACAATCAATATAAGCATTGCTTTTTAATGTAACAAAAAACAACAATGCAATAAAACACACAATTCAAAGGAAGTGATCTCCTATAATCCAAGACAAAAAATAAATAGATTTGCGTATAAGTACAGCAACAGATAAATAGCCTGAACAGTATATTGATAGAATAGTGAGAATCACTATATATAAAATTATCAGCTAGCTTAACCTATTTTACCATATGATTTTTTTCCTTTTTTATACACCATGAGACTAAAGTATGTTTTTATCTATAGAGTACCAGAAAGAACTAATGAAACAAGTGACTCTTAGGTAGTCACTTCCATGGCCGCTGTCTAAAACGTAGGCAACATTTGCAAAGTATTTATTATTTAACCACTTCAAATTTAGCCAACATCCGCTTTTTCTTCTTTGCATAAGTTATATAATGGTAGACGTCCCAATAAGAGGAAACGGAAAGCAAGCTATGAGAGAACAGTCAAGTTTCTCAGTACCGATTAATTCTATAATAATCTGATCGTATATTTCTTCTTTTGGTTAAGACTAAATACTTACACCTTAGCTTGTGTCACTACGGCCGATCCGCCCGGGCCAGTTTTCCACTTTTCTCTTGTAGATAGTACCCGCTCCAAAAAAATAAGGGATTTTTACCTATCTATACCATATATCAAACCTTATTACCCTAAATGTTTAAGGTTTGTGTTTATTACATTTAAGCATACCAAATTACCATTTCTATACCATAATTCAAATTAGGGATATAATTAAGGGTTCATTTTTATTAGGCATAATTATAGGACTGTATCTTCCCACTTTCTCTTTCCTTTCATCTCAACTGTTCACAACACACACAAAACTCACGATGCTCCTATGCTTCCTCTCGTTGATCATCCCCAACTGCCCACCACCGTCGAAGAATATCATATTTTCAGATTCACAAGAAAATTTTAAATTCTTTGATCNTCACCAAAACCCCTCAAAATTGAGATATAAACTCCTAAACATATTCCGAATTATTTACAACAACATCCAATCAAAACAAATAATAATTTTTGAAAACCCAAATTTGAATTCAAAGCTTTCAAGCTTTTTAATGGCTATCAATGGTGGAAAATATATGGAAGAACAGATGAAGATGAAGAACAGAAATCTCCTTTCCGTTTGATTACTAGAGCTTCAGTAGCTTGCGTTTTTTGAGAATTGTAGTTGAGTGAGAGAAGAGAGATCTCTTTCCGTTGAGGAAGGAGAGAATTACGCAGCAATTCGAATTTAATGTTGACAGAATCAAACGCATATCTGGTGCCTTCATTTTAGCGCATTTTTTATGGCAAAATCTATCTATTTTTGGATTGGTATATAATTTGTAGTAAAAGTGTGGACTACACGGTAAATAACAAATTATGAACATTTTTGGTAATAAGGTTTGATATATGGTATAGATAGGTAAAAATCCCAAAAAATAATAACTGACAAAATGTATATTTTTTGTATATTAATATACAAAAGAATACTTCAATTCATAATCAGTGTATATTTTTTGTATATTGGCTAGCGAATGTTATTATTTTTGACCGATGATCGGCCAAATATGTAACTTGCCCCAATTTTAATCTAACAGATATTACCCGCGTACTTACAAATCAAGGAGAAATAGAAAATAGTGTTCATCAAAGGTGGTTACAAAAGCAATATATATAGAAAAAGTAGGATGAAAAAGAGAACACACGAACTGATTGTTGTTGTTTTCTCATGGTCAAGTACAGAAAGGATAAAATCGTTGAGTAATTCTGAGTTATTTTATGACTGATTAAGATTAATGAAAACCATTAACCCTTACATGGTTATATTTATTGACATTATCTTTTGACGTTTGAAGAGGAAAACACAAATTAGTAAGGAGAGTACACTAATTATTGTATTTGTACTATTTTAAGTTTGGTATACACCAACTTGCTGTTTTTAAAATTGCATGTAAAGAGCCAAATCACACACTTATATTTTTTGAGTTTTTGGAGAGCTTTTCCAAAGAGTTCTCTAATCCAATTAAAAGGGGCCATAGTCTGCAAGGGATANTATTCTTTTTTGCACCTAACTACGTAAATGTACTATGGTATGGTGAAGAATTGAAATTATTATTGTTATTACATCTAAAGTAGCAAGCTATTGACAGTCACTTTCACGAGTGGCTTCTAAGCACCCTTTTTCTTCCTTTTCATACTCCAAGGGACCGCTTGCTTCAACGGATTAGCTGGATTATTCCAGTATAGATTTTAAAACTAAATTTATTTTGTATTTGGTTGAAGCTATTAAATAAAATTAATATTATTTTCATACCAAAAAATTTAATATAACTTATCCCGTATATAGAAGGTAGGTAAGATAAGTTATCCAAGTTATAGTCTCGATTTTATAATCCTGGCATATCGAGGAACGAATATTAGACATGTGTTCTGACAATAGTTAAGTCAAAAGTATTCACATTTTAATTTGTTATTTTTATAATTAGATTGCTTACTTTAGTGTAAATAACGGATGCAAAAGTATTTTCCCAAGTTTTTACTTAGAAATTTTTTGGAGGATGTTCATCATTTTGTTGCCTGGATCGTCTTTTCTTTGGAAGTTACTAGTATTAATGTCCCCTTGGAACCTCATTTAATGTTAACATAGTTTAGAACTTTTTCTGATTAACAACTTTTGAACAGATTACCAAACTGCAGCAATATGCGCCTCTTCCTTGTTTAAACGTTTTGTTACTGTTACAAACAGGGGTAATGAAAGAAAAGAGGTCACATCTCTGCACAGTACTTGGTTTAAATTAGACCATTTCAACATTTCTGAGGCTTCTGCCACCAAATATCACTGTCGTTAACTTGTTTCAAAATGTAACAACCCCACATCATGCCAGAAGTAACAGTTCATGGGTGGAGGAAATTGAAACTCAAAGCAGGAACAACCAAACAAACTTCACAGCAACTAACCGACACTTTCAAGCATGCTGAGCTAGAATATTAACTTCTCCACAAGACTACAACAAATTCTTGAAACGCCATTACATTGTAAAGAAATAATGATTTCTTTTGCTTTGAAGTTAGTGCAGGGGAATAGAAATGGAGTTGGGGAGGGACCACTCAACCTTAAGCAAAACCCAATGGAGTGCTATTCTCAAAATTAGCCAAAAAGTTCTTATGCTTTATATCTGTTACTGTATAAATGACATCATAAAACAGGACACACCAAATTCAAAGAATAACATCAGCGGGGCCAAAGTTTTAGGTTTATGGATTTTGAGTTCTAGAAAAAAACAGCTTAGTGAGTTCTGGATAAATTATTTATACATATTAAATAAATTTCTTAACACACGTATAAACTTTTGGCCGAAAGCCACCGGGTTCTGCCAAACACATAATAAAACACACTAGCTCCGCCACTGACCACCATGAATCACAGCAAGTGCAGCTTCTCAGTTCCTCACCTTTCTTCCTCCAAGCTTCTTTTACTAAACCTTGAACACAAGCAAGCTGTGAACCCTTAAGGAAGTATGTAGGCAATGAATGGTCACAAGGAAAAATAATACTGTAGTAGTAAATTAAAAGAACACCTAATAGGCTTCCTCTGAGAACAGGAGAGATCAATAATGCATCATATTATATTATAATACAGAATAGGTTTTAGAATGCATACAAAAGAAAGCAAAAATGAAGGCATCAAAACTGCATGACAAAAGGGTAGGGGACCACACTACAGACAGAATCTATTGGTACTTCCTAGATAAATTATGCCGGACACAACCTTATAAAAACACTATATAATGATGCAAAATAATATCAAACTAAAGCTGATTACCTTAATCAGGATTTGGACCCTGAGGTCCCCCCCCTCCATAATTGGCAAAATCAATTGGTACCAAGTCTATATCATTTAACATTGTCAGATTACATAACATGACCTAGTTATCAGCATATTAATATAGTACAAGTGCTCAAGGGAAAAGGACCAAAACATTTCATTAATACATATATAACACAAGAATATGTACTTTCCATAACCTACTTGCCATTTAAAAAAGCAGCCAATGCATTTCAATGATGTAATCTTCATTACAAGCTTGCCCTAGGAAAAGGGGGGGAAACATGGTGCTCATCACGTTTTGCTGTCTTCAGTCTCAGAGCCATGCAAAATATTTGAAAATTTTAAGGGCAAGAAGCAGCTTTCACCTCAATTTAAACTGCTATACGTGTGATACTACTATATATGCAATTTGTTTTGGGAACAAGCATTTACAAATGCATATACTGTTTTCTTTTACATATGTTTTTCTTTAACTGATCAAAAAATCGTATATGCATTTGTAAATGCTTAATCCACAAATCAGAAACTGCAAGAAAGTTGTTTGTTCAGTTTGTAAGAGCCATGTATATTATCTCTCTAAAGAGTAAAGCCTTAACTTGTGTAAGAGATATGTGAACGTCAAAGTAATCTATGTAGCAGAAAAGGAGCTTTCTACAGCAACTAGGTAGGTGGATCTCTGATCCAATTCCAATCAGTTTAGACAGAATACATAAACATATTGCATGCAGCAGATATAACATTATAGCAGAGACAGTAAACAGACAGTAAACAGATGATATAAATGTCAATATAATTGTACAAAGACATGATAATACAGCCATATGGAGTGGTCTTTGATATTTGGAAGTAAACGGAGAAGTATGCCTAACCGATAATGGTGGTGGAGACCGGGGGTGCCGACAAAGGGCCAACTGCCTAGTGAAAATGGAAAACATGGCAATTCATAACTCTTGGAGTTATATCTGAATGAAACAGAAGTAGACTTATCATCGCATATTTATTATAACATGTAACTAATTAAGATGTTAGAGACAATAAAAAGGGCAGATTGGTGCTAAGCTCCCACTATACGCGGAGTCCGGGGAAGGGCCAGACCACAAAGGTCAATTGTACGCAGCCTTACTTGCATTCCTGCAAGAGACAATCATTGGAAAATTTAAAGCAGAAGTGCCTGAAATCTTATCTTGCAAATCTCCACAATGTGTTATAATCCAACACCAAACATAATGATAAGAATTGAGGGACAGCCGGCTTGTCCGAGGGAAGACGGGAATGAGAGAGCTCTTCTGAAAATTAGGTTTTCATTGTTTGAAAATTAGTACAAGGCTATAAGAAGAGATGAAAATGAAGAAAATGGAAAAAAGGAGCTCCCTTCAGTCCAAGCAAGGAAAGAGAGGAATAGAAAACTATCTCCCGCATCATTCACTCAATCACAGTAGCACAAAACCTATTCCTTTCTACTGAGTGGTTGGATGAATGAGGCGGCAGCTAATTCAACCCCAGTTCTCCTCCATGAGTGGGCTGAAGGAAGCTCTCTTAGACCATTCCTTAATGCACAAAACTTTTACAAGTCCAGTAATAACCAAGTTCTTCAACTGAATAGCAGCATTCACCAAATCTTACATAGAATACATAAGCTGAAGAGGCTTAAATAAAAGAACTTGATCTACCAACATCAACTTTTCACACAACTAATATTCAACTGGAAAAAAGGGATAGAAATGTGACAAATCATAAACTCAATCACTATGACAAGTATCCAGTAATACCTGGCAACAATTCACCATGATGTCTCAGAATCATATTGCGAGAGTAAAAGGAAAGAAGTTTGGCCCGAATTTCACATAACAGAAGCAAAACAGTCTGCATTTAGCTTTAGAAAGAAAATGAAATGCAAATGCTATAGACACAACCTAAATCATGCTTGCATAATAGCTGAAGAATGAAGAGCTGGGAACTAAAAATACATTCTTAATAACCTATTAACAGTGAACTTGAAAATTTCCACAAAAAATGGAGATTCTCATTATGGTTAATTTGATATATAAGAGTTAACAAAGGTACAGCAAAAAAAACAACTACCCAAATTCCCAGGCAAATCCTAGGTCTCATGAGAGGGATTATGAATCACAAAAGTAAGAAAAGTAGCAGTAGACATTTTGTGGTCTCTAGTGATGGCATACCAAAGTCATCAGTTTTAATATCATATCCATATGACATATGAAACCTGAGAAGATACTTAAAGTGGATTTTTTTAAAAATAAAAATGAAAAAATTAAACCTTTCAAAGACATTTACCATGGGTTCAAAAGCACTACAGAAGAAATAGCAAAGTCCCATGGTAACGATTTCAAATAATAGAAAACAAAATCACTATACAAAATGCAATCTCTTAACTGGGGGCAGAGTCAACTCTTAAAACAAACCCTACAATAGATTAAAAAAAAATATCTTTAATTTGCCATTTTAATGAGTAGTGGTTTTACTAACAAAATAGATAGAAAAAGAAAAAAAATATTTCAGAATCATAATGATGCTAATAGTATCAATCTGAAATAAACAGGATCTTAGATAAGTAATCTGAAAAAAAAAAAAACCTAGAAGATAGCGTTCCATCAACTTAGCTTAGACAGAAATTAATAGAACAAATGAATCTTAAGCAGCTAAATGATAATAGATCGAAAAACTATCTGAAACTGCACTTATCTGCTCAATAATGAAAACCCTAAGTCTCCAATAATGCTTGGTGAGCTATCATTTTCCCATTATTTCAAGTGTTTTCTGAATGTCACTTCACTTCCGCAGCAATAAATAGAACTATCAGAACAAAACAAAAGAAGAGCAGATAAAAGAGGGGAAAGATAAGAAAAAGAAAGGGGGAAGAAGATAAACAACGTTTGGCTGAATGAAAAAATAATAATTTCTGAGGAAAATGAAATGAGATGATAAGATTATATTTGAATGAAGGAATAATAGGTGGAGAAAAGGGAGTTGCACTAAATAAGGAAGAGAAGAGATTGTATAAATAAATACACAAAAGGGGGAAATGAAGGGTCGCTTTCGCCATGAGAGTGAGGAATTAGAAAGCGACTTTAATATGTCAACAAAATCTTTCACACATCATAGACAGAGAGAAAGAAAGAAGATAGTAGAAAATATAGTATTTACAACCATACAACAAACAGAAAAGGTGAGTTCATGAGTTATCAGATCATCTACTGCAAAAGGGGAAAAGAAAAGGGTCTGAAGAAAAGATGAGCAGTCATTCATACCTTCTGGAGCGCACTGAACTGAACAACTGAGGGAAGAGCGGGGGGAGACAGTGAAGACACCGTGCACCAATAGGAATACACAAAGGGGTAATGTCTGGGGTTGTTGAACTTTTGACCATTGTTGTCGTGGGTTTATGACCTTTTACCCTCTCTTTTTTTGCGTAACTCATATTTGTAAGCTATCATTTGATTTATAGTCTATCATTGATCATTAAGGGATCGTTTGGTTGAATAGTTATGCAAGAATTAATAATATGGGATCAGTAATACAAGATTTAATAATGTAAAAATTGTATATGTGGTAATTAATAAGGGGTTTTGACATATTTACCCACAAAAACAAAATTATCCCTTGTCTACTCATTTATTTTTCTACCCATAAACTAGTTACATTTCCTACCCATAGTAGGTTTTGTGGAGAATTTTTTTCTTTATTCTCCAATTCTTTTTTATTTCTACGCTTCTTTTTCTCGTTTTCTTCATATTTTTTTCTTTTTTCCTTTTTCTAATTTCATTTAACTTCTTTTTTTTATATTCTTCTTCTCTTCATAATGTAATTTTATTTACTGTTTTCACTATTTTTTATTATTCTTTTTTTTATATTATTATTAAAGAAAAATTAAATTGTGTACCAATTAAATGTAGTTAATACAATCAAAAAAAAATATTAACTAACATATGATACCAGTATAGTATATAGTTATAGCAACAGGGTATACAATTGTATATAAAGAGTTAAAAAAAATTAATTCAATTATTAAACTGAAATAATATCAATTGTCAATAAAAATTTAAAAAAATTCTAAAAGGATCTAATTGTAAGAGTATACCGTTACATTATATATCATACTATAATATTTATTTATTTTTTTGCATTTTCAATTTGCCCATCACGCTGGGTAAAAGCTTAAAGCAAATTAAAAGGGAAAAGTCAAGTGAATTTACGTGTAATAAGTATACTATTATAGTATATTGTATACTATTACAGCATATTGCATATTATTACAGTATACTATAATAATATATTGTATACTATTACAGCATATTGCATATTATTACAGTATACTATAATAATATATTGTATACTATAATAGTATATTGTTGCAGCATAATTATATACTCTTATAGTATATTGTATATTGTAGCTGTACACTGTTAGGTAACTGTGTTCTTCTTCGATTATTACAATATACCATTGCAGTATATTGTAAACTATAATAGTATACTGTTGCAGTATAGCTATATACTCCTACAGCATATTGTATACCGTAGCGGTATACTGTAGCTGTGTTCTTCGATTTTCAACTGAAAATTTCGATCTCAATCACCTCAAATCAGCTCCAACTGCTATCAAATTCAGTATGAACTTCCATAAGGTACTATAAGAAATATTTAACAACACTCACTTTGAATATGGTTAAGGTAATAAACAATAATTGCAATTTGTATAACTTTCTTAGCATAAAAGAACAAAAATAAATTTAAGGATATAAGTTCCATATTACGATTTTTCGCACTCATCAAACACAAAAGGACACACTTAAAAAAAAAGAGGGAAAAAACAAGAAAGTGATAAAGAAAACATGAGTGGGGGAAGAGGTTTCACGGCTGAATGGATGATTAGATTCCTAAGGGAATTTTGACAATGCAGTCAAGTTTTACCAAAAGTACTGAACTCTAAAAATAGAAAAATGAAATCTAAACTCTAAGGACGAGCAGCTAACAATCAAGCAATCTAAATTGGAATATACTTGGGAAATAGACTTCAATATATTGATAACTTCTTTAAGATATTCTGAACAGAAACAAACATCCGTCCTCATCGTTCATATAAATTCACTTGCTCAATTTGGCAAAGAAAGGAGGAGGTTCAAATATCTAGGTCAATGAATAACATATTTTAGAAAAAAAACGGGTAAATAGTTTGGGCCCTACGGATAAGAGTAGTAAATAGTTTGGGTATGAGCATTAAAGAGTAAATAATAGTAACTTTAACTTCCTGCTCTTGAGCATACCTTAACTTTCTGCTCTTGAGCGTAATACAACATTCGCCAACAATTTCAACTTTAATCTATATTAATACAAGTCAAAGAGATTCCATATTAGAAATAATTCTCATGTTTTGGTCACTTAAGTATTTTCTCAAACACTTGGTGACATAAAGCTTCATAGTCCTTATCAATGGTATCTCTACACCCAATAACACATTCTCTTGCTCCTAGATAAATTCTAAAGTCTCAAATGGTTATAATCAACATTATTCTTTATCACTCATAAGGTAAACAACACCCATAACCAATAATCAACAATCAACAACCCAAACCTATAATCGTTCATGCTTTTCTATCAAACCCATCAACTCATAACTCATGAACTAGAGTCTATAATCATTAATCCAATGCTAGAATCAATTAGAGGGTGAAGACATTACCTTTTTGAAGTTCAATCCCTTTGAATTCGAGTTCTAGGCTTCCTTCTCCCAACAACGATGTCCCAATCGAATATCTAATGATATGGAGGGTTTACCCATGTTAATAAGATGTTGGGAAATTGAAATTAACTTAGAATCACCATTAGAACTTACCTTGGGTGGTGGAAGGACCCTTAAGGAGTTAGGTTTTTGAGAGTTCTCTTTTCTAGAGCAAGTTTTTATGTTTTGGGGCTGTAGGGGACGAAATATGGCTTTAAAACGAACCCCCACGAGCGCGCCCGTGCACCTGGATACCTGACCGCGCTACTGACCGCGCAAAACGGCAGTAACACTGCCTCAAAATTAGCGTGGTCGCGCTATGGGCGCGTATATCGCATATTATTCTGTAAAACACACATAACTTTTTTCACAGATATCCGTTCGAGCTTCATAATATATTGTTAGAAATCTATTTCAAAGGCCTACAACTTTCATGCTTTGAGTTTTCCCAAATTCCTTACACATGTTTACTAAACTCTGCTGGAAGATAGACCTTCTGCAAACTTAGTCGATTTTGTCAAATCTTATGCACCTTACTTTCCATCTTGATTTTGAAACAACTATTTTCACCCATAATCATCCCGATGGGTCTTCACATGTCCAAAATATATATTTATTACTCGTTTAACTCATTCATACCTAAGTCAAATTTACGGGATGTTACATTATCTCCCCCTTGGGATCATTCGTCCTCGAATAATTGTCCTGACTGTAACTTCTTGTAACTCCGGACCTTAAACGGGTCTAGTGGAAACATGAACTTTCATTAACACTTGTATACTAAACTGAATGAATACATAATTACTGAACTGTTACGATACTGAACTGAATGACTACTAGATTGACTGAATATTGGTCTGCCATGGATACATGAATACTGAACTAACATGGATATATGAATATTGAACTGACACAAATATGTGAGTAATCTGAGTACTAATCTTGCATGAATGTCTAAGTATTGGACTAACATGAGTAGTTGAGTATTGAGCTGACATGAGTATCTGAGTACTGAATTGACATGAGTATCTAAGTACTGAACTGACATGAGTATCTGAGTACTGAACTGACATGAATATCTGAGTACTGAACTGACATGAATATCTGAGTACTGAACTGACATGAGTATCTAAGTACTGGAAACTTGAATGTTATAACATGATGCGTGAAATACTGGTTGTACCACCACTAATCATGGTGGCAAATCCAACTCATATGCTAATTGACCGATCCTTTATAGGATCGTATACGACGTGATATATTTGAGACCGAGCTTTTCTTTCTTCCTAAATCTCATAACGCCTTTCATAGGCAAAACTTTCAGAAACACCCAATGATCAACTTGGAACTCTAACATCTTCAAACGCTCTAGAATCAACTTGACTTTCTCTATAGTCTGATAGACCAAATCGGGCCCTAACAACTCCATTTCTCCAACTTCGAACCAACCAATTTGTGATCTACACATTCGCCCATACAGAGCTTCGTATGGTGCCATCTTGATACTAGAATGGTAGGTTATAATTAGCAAGGTCACTGAGAGGTATGTGATTATCCCAATTACTTTAACATCAAGGACATATCCTCAGCTGTTTGAATAATACACTCTGCCTGGCCATCTTTCTGAGAATGAAAAACTTGTGCCTAATCCTTTCTGAAAGGACTTATAAAAGTTCATTTTAACTGAGCACCACAATACGAAATGACGGACAACGGAGTCCCATACATCAGATGATTTCCTGAATGTACAACTTAGTATAATCTTTTACTGAATCTGTAGTTTTTACTGGCAAGAAGCGTGCTGACTTGGTAAGTCGATTTACGATCATCCAATCAAATCATGCTTTTAAAATGAGCAAGATAATCCCGTTATAAATTTCCATATTTACCATCTTCACTAAAAAGTATGTGTATTCTGGGATGAAAACACTAGACTTTCTACTGCTCGACTTTCACTTGCTAGCAATTCAGACAATTGGCCACAAAGTCTGCGGCGTTCTTTTTCATGTCGTTCAACTAATAAATCTCCTTGGTCATAATGCATATTTGGGGAACCTGGATGGAAAGAATACCTGGGATTATGGGCTTATAACATGATCTTCCCTCTTTAAGTCCATCTATGTCTGGAACACACAATCTGTCTTGGTACCTCAAAATACCATCATCTCCCCCTTATTCAAAAGTCATCGTTTTATACTTGTGAATCTACTCTTTCAACTGCAACACGTAGGGATCATCGAACCGTTTCTTCTTCACTTCGGCTACTAAGGAAGAACAAATTCTATTCTAGACAATAATTCCACCATCTTTAGAATCCGAAAGCCAAACTCTTTGCTTGGCTAAGCGGTGAACTTATTTCACCATAGTTCTCTTGTCTGTCTCAATCATGAGCTACACTTCCCATACTTGATTATCATTTTAAGCACTTTCTGAAAACACTTATATCATTGTTGCAATCTAAGTCTTTGACTTGTACTCCAAAATTAGAGTCTCGTGCAATGGCACTACCATCATAACACATAAATAGGCATGATTTTATAGCTTTTCTGTGATCATTTTATCATCAATAACTAAGCTCGGTGATCATTCTATTCATTTTGTGTTTGTTACACATGCTAGACATATTCCTTGTGGTAATTATACAACTTTCCCTCATTATCGAACTGATTTT